GCACAAAATACGTTTATGAGTTTTTTGCACACAATCCCTCTCACATGAAGTAATTTCAGAAGTTTCATTCCTGACATTTTCAGTATCTTCCAGAATGAGCCGTTTCAGGGCTCTATCTCTTTAAGATAACAAGCTGGAGCTGGCCACACCCACCCATCCCCGCTCAGGCTGCTATAAGCTGAGAAGCTCTGATATTTGGGAGAAAACAAGCTGCTGCCACAGCTGCCCTGGGGCGCACAGACAGAGGCAAGGCCTGCCGAACACTGGCACCATCAGGCCCTCCGAGCACTGCCAGCAGACAAGGTGGGTCAAGTGTTTTGTCTAAGGACACAACAGCAGGTGGGTGCTGGGATATATAACCTCTAACCTTCCAATTCCTGGACAACGTGCTCTACCTCCTGAGCTACTGCTGTCGGTTCTAATTTCCACATTTATGACATCACAAATGGGGACTTTTGAAACAGCTTGTTTTGGCACATAACTCCTAAAACCAAACACTGACAGAAAACGGATGGACTTTCATGTTTGGCGTGTTTATAGAGGCAGCCGAGACCCAATTGTCAGCACCAAGAGATGCTGTGGTCTTCTTTAAATGCAACTTTCAAAATATTTGAACCCAGTTTTATCCGCTAAGCTATTGATACGGAGAAAAATCATACTAAAACATCAACACTTTATGTCATTTTTGTTTACTTGACCGAGACCGTGATTGTTTCGACATGCCTGTAAATCACTAATTTGATCATAACACAATTTTGTATCGATACCATGATTACCCCATACTCCTGGAGCGTCCCCCACAGGGTCCCCCTGGGGACACGGTCATAAGCCTTCTCCAAATCCACAAAACACATGTGGATAGGTTGGGCAAACTCCCATGCCCCCTCCATCACCCTTGCAAGGGTATAGAGCTGGTCCACAGTTCCACGGCCAGGACAAAAACCACATTGCTCCTCCTCAATCTGAGATTCAACTATCGATCGGACCCTCCTCTCCAGTACCTTGGAGTAGACCTTTCCAGGGAGGCTGAGGAGTGTGATCCCCCTATAGTTGGAACACACCCTCAGGTCACCCTTCTTAAAGATGGGGACCACCACCCCGGTTTGCCACTCCACAGGAACTGCCCCCGATGACCACGCAATGTTGCAGAGACGCGTCAACCATGACAGCCCTACAACATCCATAGCCTTGAGATACCCAGGATGAACCTCATCCGCCCCCGGGGCTCCGCCGCTGTGTAGTTTGACTACCTCAGCAAGTTCTGCCCCAGAGATTGGACAGTCCATCCCCAGGTCTCCCGGCTCTGGTTCCTCCTCGGAATGTGCGTAGGTGGGATTGAGGAGCTCCTCAAAGTATTCCTTCCCCGCCAGCGAGGTGACGTTCCATGTCCCAGTAACCAGTTTTCTTGTCGGGGGATCGGACCGCCAAGGCTCCCGCTTCGGTCTGCCACCCGATCCACATTGATCCGGACCCTTCATGTTCCTCCTGCGGGTGGTGGGTCCACTGTTGGATGAGCCCATGTATCCAGTTCGGGCCGGGCCCGGCCGGGCCCCATGGACGAAAGCCCGGCCACCAGGTGCTCGCTCACGGGCCCCAACCCCAGGCCTGGCTCAAGGGTGGGACCCCGGTAACCCTCCGGGCCGGGTAGTCCGACTCTTTGATTGTACATCCATGAAAGATCTTCTGAATTCTGTAATCAGGATGTCAAAATAAAACGAATAAACATGCTTTCTGATTAAATGGAAAGAGACAGAAAATAGGTTACAGCAGCATTTAATCAGTGCATCCTCTCAATGCTAGAACCTATTTTGGTTTTTAAAGACCATGTTTGTTTGTTTGCTCGTTTGCAGTAGTCTCTAACACAAAATAATGCCTTTGAGTTGATCTCTGTGGGAAAAAAAGCTCTGGCGCTCCTGTTTCAGGAACATGAAGAGAGCCAGAGCAGTAGGAAACTGAAGACGGGTTTTGGGGTCTTATTTCGTGGGTCTATTTGGACATCTTGCCTCTGATTGACTAACAGCACGCAACTGCATTTGCTTTGCAACACCGGTGTTTTATCTCCACCAATAACACAAGCGTGGAGGAGTTCTGCCATGTGGTGGAGTTGCTAACGCTAACTGTTACCTTCTACTTGTCAAAACGTGCTCTGTTCTTTCCTGGCTGCTGAACCGACACATCGCCCTGATTGCTGAGTCGCCCTCTTTGTTGCGAGCCAAGATGGTGAGCGTCAGAAGCTGATGAAGGAAAAAGGTGTAGAAGACTATTTTCACGTTTAGCCTGCATGTGAAACTAAAACTAAACTCAGTGAACTTGGCCTTTAAAAATACAAATGAAAAAAGTTTTGTACCCACTTGTGTTTTGTTGTTTCTGGCTCTCTTCCATCATAATTACCATCTGCTCCTCTAAACCAGGTGTCACATTTTCAGCAGACATCTTTGCTGCAAATCACCCTCAGTCACTTAGTGCTAATTTCAGGTGTTCACAAAGATCAAGATCTACTCGCTGTGATGCTGTGAAGCAGATCTAAATTTATATATTTCTATTCCAACGCCACATTTTGCAGCTTGAGAAAACGTAGCTACAGGCTAAGAATTGGCACATTGTTAGTGTGGGTGCCAGCTCAAAGTTTTAATGACAAATCCTTTCAAACTGTCAAAAAATAAATAAGTAAATAAATAAATCTGCTTTACCGATCGCAGTGCTCTTTCCAGTTACAGCAACACACCTGTTCAGTTAAAGCGCCCACAGCAACAAGCGCATCGCGGCTGACCGGGCTGTGCCCAGTGGTTGACCCAGCCTCCTGGACTCCCAGTCCCTCACCTCCACAGCAACGTCCTGGACCCCTAATTGGGACGACTGAGGGCTTACAGCAAAGAATGAGCCAATCAGGATGTCTTCCTCTCCACGGGAGGGAACTGAATGCCGGCTGTGCAGCTTGTTAAGGTGTAGCTACCGGTGGCAGCACACACACACACACGCACACACACACACGCACACACACACACGCACACACACACACACGCACACACACACACACACGCACACACACACACACACCAGAGTTACAGCATGTTTATCCTGAAATCACCAGCTGTCTGTGTGCCATTAGGAAGCACTGAGCGGCATTTTTATCTGGAGCGTTTTAGAAAAGAACATAAAATCACGACAAATAGTTTCACGGTTTCACCTTTTTTCGTTTCCAAAACCTCAAATCAGATTGAATGTCGTCTAATTAAATGAACATTTAGTCGAGGATGACAAAAGGGAGAAAGTGAAGTAAAAATACATTAAAGACACGAAATACAACCTGCAGCTGCATTCTTAGACAAAAGTCAACCTGGTTTTAGTGCAAGCTGGATGCAAGGCTGCCATTTGTCTCCAGTCCTGTTTGTTGTATTTCTGGACAGGACCTCAACATCTGGCTGCGGGTGAAACCTTCAGGGCCCCTTATGTTTGCGTAGGCTCGCAGTCGTCATATTGTCTGACCTGCATGTTTGTTTCAGACCACGCCGTATGAACCTTCTACTCCAAACCCAAGTTCCAGATCTGAAGAGGCTTCTTGAATGAGAGGCCAAACGTCTTCGAGGAAATGAAGAAATGTCCAGCTGTTTCCAACTAAACCATCAAGTTCAGCGCCCCTCGTCTGTTTGTGCAGATGATAGCATTCTGTTGGTGTCTGCAAGCGAAGACCTTCGGGAGTGCACGGGACGATGAGATCTGAGTTGGTTTCCTCAGAGTCTGAGGTCACGGAGATAGCAGGAGCTCAGGACGTAGAGCGGGGTTTCCAGTAATCAAAAGGTTGTAGGTTTGATCGCGGTTCCCACCTGAGAATGCTGCTTTAGTGTCATCCGGCAAGACACTTACCCCACCTTGCCTTGTGGTGGTGGTCGGAGGGACCGGTGGCACTGTCAGTGCGCCCCAGGGAAGCTGTGGCTACATTATAGCTCATCATCACCAGTGTGTGAATGTGTGTGTGTGTGAATGACTGATTGTGTTGTGAAGAGCCTTGGGGGGTTGTAGAGCCCTAAGAAGGCACTATACAAATACAGGCCATTTACCTGGGTGAAGGTGGTATGCTCCCTTTGGGTAACTGGGACGTTTTTCCCAAAATAATATTGTTTTTTGTGGAACCTGCGACTCGCAAACGCTCACAGGTCTGCAGATGGTTCAGCGGCGGCAGGATGAGACAACGTACCAGCAGGAGGTGAAGGTGCAGGGATCTTCGTTACTTATATCTGTGGAACCAAGGAGATGGCGGTGGGCTTACACAGGACTGGCATTACCACTCGGCCCCTTCTCTGGAGCAGCTGTGGTGATGGTCTCCTCCATCAGTTATCCTGCTCTAACCTTAACCCTCTGGAGGCAGGCGTTAAAGCCTACCTACCTGGTTACTCCACCCGCATGCTTCATGGGCATTTTTAACTCAGAAGTACCCCTGATGTTCGTCCTTTTATCAGAACTTAGTTTGAGCCTGAAAGGGTTAAAAGCAAGTTTTAGAATTATAAATATCACCAAGAAGATTTCCATTAATTGATTTGGTTGCATTATCCAGAACTTTGATTTACTTTTATAAATGTGCGCTAACTTCAGCTGGTTGAAGAAGAGACTTGTCATGGATGAAGCTTGCGTGACTCCGAGCTCAGGATAAGAGTCTGACATGAGGGGCAGACGCTGAGCAGATCACCGCCGTCCCATCAGCGTTCAAAACCAGAGAGAGACGGTTGCCATGACGTGTGTCCGTCATAATAACCTGAATCTTTAGGGGCAAGTTGTTTGCTCCTCACCCATTTACCAGGAAAAATGTTTAAACTGCACTATGTCATTTAACAAGAGAGGTTCATTAGTCTACCTAGTAAACAATCATAAATAACCATACAGACACAAAGTTTGGCAACAAAGTTTGTTAAAGGTAATTTAACGTTTTTATGACATAATTTAGAGCGATTTTCATAATTCCTTGACATGCAGCAGCTGGCACGAGCCTACGTGTGGTGCGCTGATAGTTTTGACTGTTTAGCATAATTCATTACACTCCTGATGGCAGCATAGAGGCCAGATGTCTCTCATGATGTGAAATAACCACCAAAGACCAGAGGGGGATGTGATGGGCTCCACAGCAATTTTACTGTGACGCGACAGGAAGAAAATAAATCAGCAACGTGTTTAAAAGTAATGGAAACGAAAGCAGCAGTCTGACTTTTCACATGAGGCTGAACAATAAGCTGCCTGGATGTGAGATTTTACAGCAGGAAACGTTTTCAATAAAAGATTCAAATGAATTCTCAGTCTTTCTAAAGAGACTCTGAAGAGAAGTCCAAACGTCTCTCGCCCTGGTAAAAAGCTCAGATCCTCCTGAGGGATCCTAGGGTGCTCCCATGTCAGCGAGGAAGTATCATCCCTACAGCGAGGGGGGCGGGGCTTGTGTTATACTCTTCTTTCACTTGTTTTTCTGTTAAATCTGCTGCGGTCCCTCGTATATATATCTCCTCTTTCAGGGGATAGCAGTTTGTTCGTGTGTGTGTGTGTGTGTGTCATTCATATTCATGACAAACATCTTGCCACTGATTGGCTAACAGCATTGCAACTCTTCCACTGCTTCTGTTCATTCTTTCTTGGGTAACAAATGCGACGCTGATGTGTTTTCTGCACAAATGACGAAGCCTGAACGAGTTCCACCATCATGGAGTTGCTATTAGCCGAGATGCACGCTGCTCTCACCCTGCAGCAACTCAACAGCTTCCCGCGGTCACAAACCATGGTGGGTGAGCCCATGAATTCAAATTTTTCCTGTGTTGTAGATCTGTGTTTTTTCTGACAAGATCTTTTCTACTGTAGGTGATGAGGGTTGAAGTCTTTTCCACAGGTTGCAGGTTTGATGCTGGCTCCAGACAGAGAATTCTGCTGTTGTGTCCTTGGGCAAGACACTTACCCCACCTTGCCTGCTGCTGGTGGTCGGATGGACCGGTGGCACCTGCTGGCAGCCCCAGGGCAGCTGTGACTGTAGCTCATCATCCTCAGTGTGCGAATGTGTGTGTGAATGGATGAATGACACACTAGTGTAAAGCGCTTTGGAGTCGTCTGGCTCTGAAAGGCGCTACACAAGTGCGGGTCATTTATCATTCATTCATCATGTGTTTGATGTTTGAAGAAATTGTCCAAAAAAATGACAAAACTCATTTTTGATGTGGAAGATTTGAACAAAAAAGAAATAAACTTGCAGGATTAACACTGTAATATTTTGGTAAAGCAGCAAATTATTATCATGGTTTTTTAAAGATCAATCCCAAACATCAGATTATTGTGATAGTGATCATAAGGAGCTCACTTTGAAAACAGATCTGAGATCTGTGATATTTGCATTTCAGATTGTTAACTTGAGCTGGCATTCAGCAGTGATTACCAGAGCACCAGCCTTCCTGCAGCAGCTGTCAGGTCTGCGAGGGAGGGAGGGAGGGAGGGAGGGAGGGAGGGAGAGAGAGAGAGAGAGAGAGAGAGAGAGAGAGAGAGAGAGAGAGAGAGAGAGAGAGAGAGAGAGAGAGAGAGGGAGAGAGAGAGAGAGAGAGACTCCCACGTCACAACATTATTGCGTTTTAAACTCAGAGCATCATCAGTTCTCCATCAAGCTCTGAGCTTTTTACTGTGTCAAAAGCCTCTTGTCATTTTGTTGTTTGTGACACAGAAGTGTGTGTGTGTGCATGTGTGCGTGTGTGCATGTGTGTGTGTGTGTGTGTGTGTGTGTGTGCGTGTGTGTATGTGTGTGCGTGTGTGAGTGTGCGTGCGTGCGTGTGTGTGTGTGTGTGTGTGTGTGTGCGTGCGTGTGTGTGCGTGTGTGTGTGTGTGTGTTGGGGTTTACACGTTGCATACGACCACGGCAGACTTAATAAATCTCTCAGCTCCAACAACACTCAGCCGGTCCCTCTCAACGCAGCATCTGAAATGTAGCGTGACCTTTCTGGTCTCATCAGACGGCCCGGCTGTCTGCGTGATGTGTTTGGGTTCAACGTGCTGACAGGAATCTGAAGGAGCAGAGCCGAGGAGGATGGAGCTGCTTATTCAGATCTGTTACTTTATCAAGCTTTTCTGTGTTTTAATACACTTATACATATTATATAATTATCATTTTATTAAAGGTTCAGGGTGTTTTATTTCATATGTAAGGCACCAGAACAGGGACCGTTTTGGGAAAAACAGTTTAACTTTATCTACAGAACTACTGAACTCATGACTGCTTTAGGACTCTCTCATGATCTTAACCGGCCTCTCCTCAGCAGAGTCAGGGGTAGCTGGGGCCTAACTCCAGCAGCCACTGGGTCAGAGGCAGGGGACGCTCTGGACAGGTCTCCAGTCCATCACGGGGACACACAAGCACTCACTCACACTTAAGGACAACTCAGAGCTACCGTTTAACCTAACAAGGATATGTTTGGTCTGCAGGAGAAAACTCATGAGAAGAGCATGCTAAGGGCCGGAAAACACTCGCTGTTTAACCTTGCGTTGGTGCAGACAGCAGGCTTGTTCACATACTTGCTGCACGGCACTGCATGTAGTACTGGAGTGTTCCACTAGGGGTTGCAGTAGAGAACTCAGAGGGGATAGAGAGCTGGGTTTGGGGGCACAACCAAAACAAACATGGCAGCAATAAAAGAGCTCAATAACTGGTTAATTTTGAGATTGTGACAGAAAAATCTGGTACCACAGATGGTGTGGTGTGTCTTGCTCGTTTTGACAACTCTACCTACTGGTTACTCGTCTGAGACCGCTTTGGGACGCGTCCCGTTAATTTCCGGGGGGGGGGGGGGGGGGCACAAATGATGCTTCAAATCAACGCAAGTAACGCTTGGCAGCCATTTTAAACATGTGTTTGCATCATTACACAGCAAATATATCACGCCCCAAACTCAGGGCAGAAAGTCCACAGCTGGGATTCAAACCTGCAACCTTCTCACTAAAACTGCACCACCATGCACAATCCTCTTTTGTGTCAGATAATAGTTTTATGTTTTGGCAGCGAATCAAGCTGAAGCTCACAAACGGTCATCTATGAAACTATAATACGTCTACATCTGTTTAACTGTAACGTTTAGGACTTGATACGGCAGGTTTCTGATGAAAGTTTCTGTTTTAAATCAGATTTCAACATTTCATTTACAGCTTTACCACGCTGTTAGCAAGTGTCTGACTATAAAAGGCTAAACGTCTCTATCGCAGTTTAATTATGACTTCACACACAACAGAGTCATAACTAAACGGCACAAATCTCTGGCTGTCCCTGAGGATTTCTTTATGTGTTATTAATCGCCTGCAAACTGAGAAGAAATGACCAAATGTAAACACTGCAAACAGGCTGATATTAAAGATAAACCAAGGAGCGCAGTGTCCTGTTGAGAGGTTCAAATCTCTGTAGACTCCTTCTGTTAGAGACGCTGATCGCTGATGCTCATTAGGTTGCAGTATTTAACCGGCAGCCATGAAACAAAACTCCGGAGTCTTCCTTCCCTTCAGTCTCTGAGCTGTTTGCTTTCCTCGTTAAGCTTTCCAGTTGAGCTTCTTCGTCTCCTTCGCCTGCTGGAGCAACAGCAGCTGAGCGAATTCATCACTGATTTTGCTTTTTTCCTGATGTCCCTCGTGAACACGGACTGATCGCTCATTAATATTTAAACCACAACTTTACAGTCTCATAACGCAAACGAGGCCTGTTACTGTTTAAAAATCAATTTAAGTGAGTGATAAATCGATTAGGATGCAAAAAATTCAATAATTTGCCTCTTGATGGTTGTACGGAAACACAAACGTGATGTTTTCAGTGAGCGTTTATGAAAATATCGATCTTTTACTGCTTTACCTGTGATGAGGTACATCACTTAACTCGTACCAGCCTCACCTCGCGTCATTATAAAGTAAAATTTACACCCTGGTGTCCATCTGGTCAGATAAGATGAGATCATATTTCCTGGTTGCCATGCGGTCATGCATAACAAACCCTGGACTGGATTACTGTCAGCAGATGGAAGCCTAAACCATCACAGATTGAGCATGTTTAATAATGAGAAACAAGTTAAATCAATCCTTTAGTTTTTTGTCAAACGGAAACTTTTCTGGACGGACAAAAGACTTTTTTTTCTTTAGTAACGTTGTTTTTTATAACAGACATAAATCCTACATTTATTTAAACAACTAGAGCAGCTAGTTTGCCCTTTTCTTCAGAGAACCCACATTTCACAAAATCACATCCTCATATTTTTTACACAAAGATAAAAAAGGATTTCCTCTTACGGAGTTTTCATCTAAGCGGTTTTAACTTAGATTTATGCATATTCTTGTTTAATGAAAGCGTCTTATTGAAACTGCTTCTCTTCCTCTCCCCTTCTAAAGGCTTCTGGAACTGAAGGAGTTTGAGTGACTTAATTTTTTTCAAGCCGTTGCAGTTCATTTACACTCTTCTCTGTTTACAGCTCCTAAAAATGTCTAGTTCCACAGATTTTATTTAGCTAACACACAACATTTATTTATTTTTGCCCTTTTGTCTCTTTTCTTGTCATCCTGCCCATTTTAACTGAGATAATGAAGCTGCCGAATAATTACACACACCTGCATATAAGGTGTTACTTCATTACCTGAAAATCAACTTAACAAGGTCTGCAATGTTTATTTTTGGAAAGTGTTGGAAGAACAATGATGAGGTCAGAATACTGGCTTGGAGTGTGAAGTTGTTTTCACGTGGGCGGTTCATTGTGACTTATTTGTAATCTAATTTTACCTTTGCTGGTTTGGTTTTGGTTTTTCAATATTTTTTATTATTTTATTATTTTCTATTGGCAACCAGTGTAGGTTTTTAAGAACAGGAGTGATGTGACTTCTTGAGGGGGTCCCAGTAATGATGCGTGCTGCAGAGTTGTGGAGAAGTTGGAGTTTATGAAGGGATTTAGTTGGGAGACCAAACAGAAGGGAGTTACAGTAGTCGACGCGAGAGGTGATGAGACTATGAACGAGGATTGCAGCAGCATGAGGCGTGAGAAAAGGACGGAGTCTGTTGATATTGCTAAGATGGTAATATTCGACTCGAGTAACACGGTTAATGTGAGATTGGAATGAAAGTGTACCATCTAGTATGACACCAATACTTGTTACCTGTAAGGATGGGTGAACTGTGGAGTCGTCAATATTGATAGAGAAGTTGGGAGAATTTTTGAAAACAGAAGCGGTGCCGATGAGTAGGAGTTCCGTTTTATTGCTGTTTAGTTTAAGTAGGTTCTGAGAGAGCCAAGATCTAATTTCAGATAGACAGTTAGAGAGGGAGATTGGTGGAAGGGATGCATTTGGATTGGAGGAAATGTACAGCTGGGTGTCATCAGCATAACAGTGAAAATCAACGTTGTATTTGCGGAAAATGTAACCAAGGGGGAGCAAATAGATGATAAATAAAAGAGGGCCTAGAACTGAGCCTTGGGGAACTCCTGCAGTAACCGGGGAAGGACTAGAAGAGTGAGATTGAAGTTGAATGAACTGAGTACGATCCGATATGTATGAGGTGAACCAGACTAGGGATGTGTGACTCATGCCGATAGATGCTAATCTTTTGAGAAGTATGCTGTGAGAAATGGTGTCAAATCATCAGGATTACCAATAACTAGTATAAACACATCACATTTATCCCTGTCCCTGTCTTCCTCGTGAAATAAATGAACGTTAATCTTACCCGGTAAAAACACGTTCGCTGCATACCTGAGGGCTGCTAGCCCGCTTGACGCTGCAGTTCATCTCCGTCCTCAGTCTCAATCAAAGTTATTAAAAAACAAAGTGAGTTGAGTTTACATCCTTGTCTGTTAGTGCAGCCGACCACGCAGCAAGCTAAAACCGTTTCACTGTCAAATCGGTGGCACAGGAGTTAAGTGCTCGCCTCGCAATCAGAAGGTTGCAGGTTCGAGACCCGTTCAGTCTGTCGCTGTCGTTGTGTCCTTGGGCAAGACACTTAACCCACCTTGCCTGCTGGTGGTGGTCGGAGGGACCGGTGGCGCCAGTGCTCGGCAGCCTCGCCTCTGTCAGTGCGCCCCAGGGCAGCTGTGGCTACATTGTAGCTCATCCCCACCAGTGTGTGAATGTGTGTGTGAATGGGTGAATGACTGATTGTGTTGTAAAGCGCCTTGGGGGGTTCCAGGACTCTAGAAGGCGCTATATCAAATACAGACCATTTACCATAAAAGTGATAAAAGGCTAAAAACTGGCTTGTTTTGGCTAGCTTCACTGGAGTTTCAACGGGTGTAAACGGCCTTTTTGCCGTCCATCATGGCGAAGGGACGGTCACATGAGTGGCGTGACGTCACGTGCAAAGGGTCAATTAGCAGTAGCTTGGGCTAGCATTAGTAGTAACTTGGGCTATTAGCAGTAGCTTGGGACTAGGACCACTGTTTATGTTTATAACATTGACAGTGCTTTAACTGCAGTACAAGGACTTTTTTAGCGTAACATGCATACCGGCACCATTTATCAGTGGAAATTGGTCTGACTCTCAGTTGTGTTGTTTGTGTTTTCCCTTTGTGGTCAAAGTAAATAAATTCCAAAGGATTTGGAATTTTAATCAGTCAATCAATCAAAGCTTTATTTATAAAGCGCGTTTCGCGACCCTGCCGGGAAGCCCAAAGCACTGAACATGGTACATGAGAAATGTGAAACATGATGAATAAATCGAAAATAAAAGCAATTCAATTTTAGCCTCTGTCAGTGCACTCCAGGGCAGCTGTGGTTACACTGTAGCTCATCCCCACCAGCGTGTGAATGACTGATGTGTTGTGAAGCACCTACGGGGTTGTAAAACCCTAAAAAGACGCCGTACAAATACAAACCATTTGCAATAAAACCTTTTCACAGTCCAGGTTGTCGCATTGAGGTAAATAATGTGCATTTTTCTTTTTTTTTCATCACATAAATTATTGGCCATAGACCAAGTAAATATCCCCAAAAGATTTTAAAAATTCTACTGAAAGCAATTTAATTAAGTCATATTTTTTATCTTCAAACAGAAGGCATATTAACCATTCTGCTTTAATAAGCATTTTGGAGCATCAAGAACATTTTGTGTAGTTTAATGTTGTGGTGAAATAAGTCACAACTCCACAGAATATAGTGTATTACTGGGAACTGGGAGGGAGGGAGGGAGGGGGAGAGAGAGAGAGAGAAATATTTTATGGCCTATAGCCTCATTCCATCACGCTTTCAAAGCTGAATATGTAATAAAAAGGAAGACATGCTAAACGTCAGCAGCAGTGTTTTAAAATAATCCTTCACATCTTTAAAGATCCTGCAAAGCTCAAAAATAAGTTATTTTCCTTGATGATTATTATGCATTTCACCTTTATTTTAGTGTTATGTTTGGAGTAGATTGACATATTGGAAAACTTTTTTTAACGTGTTTTATTGCAGAGGGAAATCGATGCCTCTCATTTCTGTTTGTTAAATCTGAAACTATGGCAACCCAACACCTCTAAAGACTTTCATTCGTTCAGCTCGAGCAGACCCAGTCAAGCCGTTTCCCCACGATTCCAGCCTTTTTGTTCCCAGCTAATCGTTCTCCGGCTGAAGCTTTGTGTTAACATAAAAGGGAGCGGTGGCAATGCTGTCAAGACCAAAAAGTGAGTGAGTGAGTGAGTGAGTGAGTGAGTGAGTGAGTGAGTGCACGTTCCTGAATGTCAAACCTTAAAACTCACAGTGACATCAAGTCCAGCAGCTGGGCTTCAGGATATGCAGTCACTAAAATGACGAATTCCTTTTTTTTCCTGAAATCATCAGAAAGAAAATATGTGGAGTGCACAAGGGATGACGGATCACACCTAAAAGGAAAAGAGAAGAAAGTCATAAAAGTCTCAGAGCTGTGCTGTTGCCTCCAGAGGGAAGAGAGAGGCCACATATCGACAGAAACCGCCTTCATATCGCTGCCGTGTAGAAGAATTATTTATCTCCTGCTCCGTTCCTGGGAGGATGCTGTTGACAGCATCTCATCTCACTGTCTGAGAACCACTGGCTTCCATTAGGGCCAGGAACTGCGATGTGATGTCTTTGTGAGAGATTTCAGCACTCTCGCCTCGTTTAAAAGCTCCGAGAGCAGCAAAGTAAATGCCGAGCCCAAAAGGAAAGGAAACATTTATTGTTCATGAAGGTGGCGCCTCACAGGTCCTGTCAGACAAGAGCAGGGAGGTGAGGTCTTGGTTTGAGGTCTCTTGAAGTGTTCCCACCTCCCTGCATTCTCCTGCAGGAGCTCTGGAGCTGCCCCCCCCCCCATCAGCACATTCGTGTACATTGCCAAATACGATCTAACATTCCACATGACGACTAGGTTTTTACATTAGTGGTGCCTGCTCCTGTTGTAAAAATGTACAGAATTACATTTTTGTGTCTCAGTGCAAAAGATAATCTCAAAAGAGTTTCAGGAAGAGCCGTGCCCTCGGTAAAAGTCCGTCCGTTGAGCAACCGGCCCGCCTACAAGACCCAGAATAAATAACCAACAGAAGCAGCTTTACAGTCACCGTCAGATAGCAGCAGTGTTTCAGCTTGACTTAAATACATATTCACAAACAACACGTGTCAGTATACACCCACGACTTGTCAGAACTGGAACTATAGATAATAATTATACATACTGATCATAATTACTATGACCATTACAGAAAAACTAATTCTAGAGAGGACTGAAGTATTTACACAGCTTTCTGTTGTTTCGTGTTGCTCCTTTAAAGTTCTGTGGCTTAATTTCCCGTGAGTGAACTTCCCAAGTAAAGGAAGGCAATGGAGTGTCTCTAAAGATAAAAAAAACAAAAGTTTATCAGCTGGTACAGATGCTGTTGATGGAGATGATGGCTGGATCCACCAAGCCCAGCTCCTCATGTTCGTTCACGCACAGCTGGTAGCCACAGCCCCGCTTGCGCTTCAGCGGGGTGACCTTGGCGTCGGGCTTGGAGCGAGGGGGCAAAAGGAAACCCACGCTGCCGGCGATCAGCATGTGCCAGATGCTGTGGATGTAGAAATAGTTCTCCTCTGTCTCCACAAAGGCGTACAGCGCCATGGCGGATGTGGCGATCATGGTGCCGGGGAAGAGGAAGAAGAGCCAGCGTTTCCAGGTGGGCGGGTAGCAGCGCCGGCGCCGGACGGTCCGCACCGTCTGACAGGACATGACAGAGACACAAGGCTTTCAGTACCACTGAAGCTTTTCTGATCATAAAGCCTCTATAACACTGTTGGGCTGCAGCACTACCACACCTCTCCAAAAAACGTGTTCACCAAATATCATAGTATCATATGTATAGTATATGTACATACATAGTATATGTTGTATTATATTATTACATGTTGTATTATATTATTACATGTTGTATTATATTATTACATGTTGTATTATATTATTATATGTTGTATTATATTATTATATGTTGTATTATATTATTACATGTTGTATTATATTATTATATGTTGTATTATATTATTATATGTTGTATTAGATTATTATATGTTGTATTAGATTATTATATGTTGTATTAGATTATTACATGTTGTATTAGATTATTATATGTTGTATTAGATTATTACATGTTGTATTAGATTATTACATGTTGTATTAGATTATTACATGTTGTATTATATTATTACATGTTGTATTATATTATTATATGTTGTATTAGATTATTATATGTTGTATTATATTATTACATGTTGTATTATATTATTATATGTTGTATTAGATTATTATATGTTGTATTAGATTATTACATGTTGTATTAGATTATTATATGTTGTATTAGATTATTATATGTTGTATTAGATTATTACATGTTGTATTAGATTATTATATGTTGTATTAGATTATTATATGTTGTATTAGATTATTATATGCTGTATTAAATTATTATATGTTGTATTAGATTATTACATGTTGTATTAGATTATAATATGTTGTATTAGATTATAATATGCTGTATTAGATTATTATATGTTGTATTAGATTATTATATGATGTATTAGATTATTATATGCTGTATTAGATTATTATATGTTGTATTAGATTATTATATGTTGTATTAGATTATTACATGTTGTATTAGATTATTATATGTTGTATTAGATTATTATATGTTGTATTAGATTATTATATGTTGTATTAGATTATTATATGCTGTATTAGATTATTATATGTTGTATTAGATTATTATATGCTGTATTAGATTATTATATGTTGTATTAGATTATTACATGTTGTATTAGATTATTATATGTTGTATTAGATTATTATATGTTGTATTAGATTATTACATGTTGTATTAGATTATTATATGTTGTATTATATTATTATATGTTGTATTATATTATTATATGTTGTATTAGATTATTACATGTTGTATTAGATTATTACATGTTGTATTAGATTATTATATGTTGTATTAGATTATTACATGTTGTATTAGATTATTATATGTTGTATTAGATTATTATATGTTGTATTATATTATTATATGTTGTATTAGATTATTACATGTTGTATTAGATTATTACATGTTGTATTACATTATATAAAAATGTTAATGTTGGGCTAGCTGTGACAGCCATATTTACGCCAATTGAAAAGAAATGTAACCCTTTGATGCATAGAGTTATATGTGGATGGCACAAACCAATAGTGTCAGTGTGTAAAATCTAACTGACTCTATCCAGTTGGTGCTGCTAATCTGGATAGGTGTTTGTATTTTTTTTACAGTGACGAGCTGAAATAAAATTGGTTATAAAAAAGATCAAAGCTGTTTTTAAAATGTAATCAGTAGAAACACGGATATCGGAGCTTCTCAGCTTATAGCAGCCTGATTGGGCGTGGCCAGCTCTTGCTTGTTCTCTTTAAGTGACAGTGCCCTGAGACAGCTCATTCTGGAAGGTACTGAAAATGTCAAGAATTAAACAGTTTTTTGCAATAAACAAAAGGCACAAAATGTCCCCTTTAATGACTTTGCCTATTTGTAGACGTCGTTGGTGAAAGTTATAACAAAATCCACCAAGTCTCCAGCTCTCCAGGTGTAGGAAATAATCGAGTCTGTGGTGTTTTTGCAGATAAATAATCGATGTGGTACAATTTGGGTGCTTGAAGTGAGTCAATAAGCTTTATTGGTTTACTTGTTTTCTTTGAGGAGGTGCCTAACTGGCTGCTAGGGTCAGGAATTATGACAAAATACAAAGTTTGGACTACAAACAAGTCTTTTCACACAGTTCAGCGGCGGTGTCTTCCCGTTGTTAGAAGAGAGAAAAACTCCCTTTTATATGGACTTAAGTTCTAACTTTGCTGACTTTTTACGAAACATGCAAAAGCTGAACTAAAGGAGAAGAACTGGCCCAAAATGTCCTTAACACGGCGTCTTTAATGTTAGCTCATCCGTTCATATTCATGGACACATTTCAGTGTGATGGCTCACACATGGGGTCACTAAAACTACAGACCAGAGGGACTTCTGTAAATTAGCAGCTGATGCTTGTGTTGGGCTCTTCATTCATTTAGTAATGCTTCAGCACTAATCAGCAGATGGATCTGACTCGCTACTCACTCCTTTACCTGTGCTGTCTTCCACTTTCATGTTGTGTTTACCAGAAATCATGTGGTGTCACTTCAGAGCCAGTTTTCTCCAACATAAACCGCAAACGTCACAAACAAACCAAAAAAGAGAATTCCAGACATATTTTCTCTATTCGGCTCATAAATCACTTGTTTTTTGTTTTGTTTTGTTGTGTTTACATGTTTTTGCACTGAGGGAATCTAAGCTCTTTACAAAAATAATCACAAATATTTCTTGGAGGAAATTGCTGTGATGAAGTCATTAAGTTAAGATGAAGGACGACTAATCTGCGGGAAGCCGAGTAAAGAAAAACATCAGATTTGTTTTTACTACTTGAGCCTGTTGGGAGCTGCATAAGTTTCCCAGTTAAAGGGGTGTGGAACCATCCTTCTGCTACTAACACTACTGCCTCTAAAAACACTCCAAACATGAAAATCTGTCCATCCATTAGCTGTCAGGTGCTTGCTTTTATGAAGTGTGTGCCTAAAAACAAGCCGTTTCAAAAAGTCCCCATTTGTGACATCAAAAACTGGAAAATTAGAGAATAAACACGTCTTACCTAGAGGAGAGCAGCTCCTGCTAGAGGAGCAATGGCTGTACTCCAAGCTCGTCCTTGGTATTGGAGCTTTTCAGCTTATAGCAGCCAATCAGGGGATGGGTGGGCGTGGCCAGCTCCTGCTTTATTCTCTAAGTGACAGAGCCCTAACTTGGCTCTTTCTGGAAGGTACTGGACACGTCAGGAATAAAACTGCTAAAATCGCTTCACGTGAGACGAATTCAGTGCAAAGAACTCCTTACACACGTTTTGTGTCGACCGTAGAGCTATTATAACTTAAGAAACAAGAATTCATAATATGTCTCTTTTAAAGCAAACCGTTCCAAAACAGGACTCGTCACCCTCCAGTCAGGGACCTCATTTAGTTTGGAAAATGAGGGAATATTTGGAATTAACTGCTCCCGTTCCTCTGGCTGCTAATGACACCCCTCGCGCGGCAGCAGACGCTCTGTGCCCTCCGCTCCACTGATCTAATTTGGTTGTGTCTGGGAACGTTCTGAATGCCAAGCTTTGCAGAAACATGACGAGCCGAGAATGAAAGGGCGCCTGTAGGAAACGTGCCGCGCTCCACCTGACAGGTGAGGAAAGACCGAACGCAGACACACTCGGCTGATTAACTGTCAGGTAATCAAAGCAAGAGCCCAGGTTTATCTTTAAAAGCTGCAACATTAGCATGAGATCCAATGGCTTTATTATAGGAAAGTTGCTGCGTGGAGCTCGGTGTCGTATCAAGCGGGTGCGTGGTCTCATCTGCTGCGATAACAGAAATGCCGTGTCAGAGTTTACATTCCTATTCTGTAGATCCTGTTACAACATGCAAGACCATAACGCACATTTTATATTTGCCACATCATTTGTGTGAACAAGCTTTGGGTGATTGAATTAGAAACCTGCTAAAGCCGGAAGCGACATAAACCTCCTCTAAAGCAATAACGAAGCTCCAGCCGAAGCGTTTAGTTTAATATGTTGATGCTAAGCAGAGGTTTTGTTTTTGTTTTTGACTTTCTGACGATGAAAGGCTTTCCATGCTGAGGCTGGAGGGTTTACAGGCATGAATTCATCAGGACTCCATCTATCATTATTTCAGCTCACGGCCAGATCGTCTTCATACATAAAACACTCCCACTCTGTCTTCAGCACAAAGCGCTCTGCAAGAAAACCACCAGCCTTGTTTTCACACTCATGTCAGAGGTGTGCTGGTAAAGACTCCGTCTATTTCCTGTGATTATTTTTTTATCTTCAGCTGAGCGAGCACATTATGAATCAGAGGTACATGCAGAGTTATAATGGAACTGCAATCCAGAGCTAATAACCAGAGGTGGAAAAACATGAACTGTTGAAGCCTCGCCTTTGCTCGTGTTAACTGAAACCATTGGTTTAGAAACGTCGGTGTTTCGCCACGACTTATTTCATTACTGCGTTAAAACCCTGGATTCATTAGAAAGTATGAGAATAATTAGTTTTCTGTCAGAAAAACGCTCTGCTGCTCCTGTTTCAGGAATTTAACCCTCTCAGGCTCAAAATAAGTGTTGATAGAAAGACGATCGACTAAGTCCTTCAGGGGTACTTCTGAGTTAAAACATGCTCATGAAACACGCGTGTGGAGTAAGCAGGTAGGTGGGTTTTAACCTGCCTGCCTCCAGAGTTAGTCAGAAGAGTGGGGGTGGGGGGGTGGGGGGTGGAAAACAAGATTTAGAGTCTTACTCATTAATATTTATGATGTGAAAATGACTCTGATTGGCTAAAAGCTACACGAATCTTCCGCTGCTATGTTGACGTTTTATCTATAAATCAACACAAACCTGAACGACCATGTTATGAAGTTGCTATTGCTAATAGTTAGCTTCTACGTTTACTACTGCTCCCTCCTAAATCCCCCGTCCGTCATTTTGTTCTCTGTCGTAACGACGCCTCTTGTCAGAAAGCCTGATTAGTAACTTTTACTACAAGGAACGGCTCGTTTGAATCGTACATCGGTGAAATATGCAGCAAAGCTGAAAACATGGCTTCCATATTTAAAATTTAGTCAAATTGCCCTAAAAGATTCTCTTTTTTAAGTTGCTTGGTGAAGTGGATGGTTGTGTTTTGTTTTAGTGATGAGAAAAACAAGAAATATTAGTAAGTTTTGTCCTGATGTTTATTATTTTTATTTGTCAGGGGTGGCAGAAGCCCAAACGCACAGCTAAAATCAACTAGAATAAAAAATGCACAAGAAACAACTATTCTCAGTTGTATACGTGTCTTAATGCCACACTATGATACTTTTTCATATTTTAAGTAATTTCCTTCAGCCAATATGTGCTAAAACGACCCTTAACAGGGTTATTGATACGTCCCTCAGACCCCCACCACTCACTGTGGCCAGAATATCACACTTGCAACCATGGATGTAATTTCCACTTTAGAAGTGTGTGTGTGTGTGTGTGGGGGGGGGGGGGGGGGTGTTGTATCGTTACGGTATGTTCTAATGGGAAAAAGGCTTCAATAGAAACGGTTGTTTTCCACTTGGTCCTAGAGCTCAACCAGTGTCAATTTAATATAGCGTAATATTGTTGTTGGATGGTAAAAAGTGCAGGGGTCAAAACTTGACTTTGGAAAAAGTGGGGGGACATGTCCCCCCTGTCTCCCACCCCCACCCCCCCAAAAATTATGTCCATGCTTGCAACTTCAGACTGGCAGACTGCCACCTGCAAACACGCCTGGTGCTGTAGTCTGCTTCCAGCACCTTCCCGGCACGTTTACGATCGGGAACAAAACTCATTTGTTTGATTTAGCTCCTGTAGAAACCACTGAAGGCTGGGGAGACATTTCAGCAGCTAGATTAAGGTGTTAAAAAGACAAACGCGCTCCAAGGAGATACGTTTTACTTTTGGTTGTACCAAATGGACATTGGGGGTGCTAAAAACAAGCCAAAATGACCAAGTTTGCCTTTAAATGTTATTCTTTTAACGTTTCAGTTGGTTTAATTTATTTCTTTTACCTTCTGACTCAACATGTGAATTTAAATCCAAACATTTACAATCTTCTGCTATTTTTCAATTGCAATGAAACACAATTGTAAAATTGTAAAAAGACTAATCATCTTCTGAGTATTTAAGGATAAAATAAAATCCCCTCACCCACGCCACCGCCATGATGCCCAGCGCAAACAGGCTCGGCCCCAGGAGGTTCCACAGACCGTGACGGTCCAGCTGCAGAGCCATGGACAGAGACATTGCTCCCAGCAGATACAACACCTGCATGAAAACACACACACACACACACGCACGCACGCACACACACACACGCACACACACACACACACACACACACACACACACAGATCAATAACCACACTCTGTAAACACTGTCAACACCACTGCATCACCAGTAAATAAGGGGATGATGGTGCAGTCAAGCTGCAGCACGGATCTCCAGTCGTTGCTTTTCTCTCACATCTGGAGGAAAAACTGAAGGTTCTGATGGTTTTTAACTATGACTGATATGAATTAAAGCATTTTAATGCATCAAAGTGCTTTATTGTGCTGCATGTGTCTGACTTTATGATGATGAGTTGTTTGTTCTTGGGTTAAAAACACGTATGAAGTCTCTCGTTTGTGAAACAACCAAGAACTGATTTTATAACATTTTTTCTTTCGATTGATCTAATTTAAGAAGGGCTTTCCTTATTAAGGTGATTTATGGAAAAATGAGCTCTTTTTTGTTAATTATCTTTAAGATTTGAGTCTAGTTGCATTTCTCTGCATCTTTTTAGTCTGCTGTGACTTGTTTTTCTTATTTTGCATCCTTTTATGGTCGCTTTGAATGTCATTGTGTCATTTTCTGGGGATTTGGCATTTCCCTGCAGTCATTTCTAATCTTTTTCAGTGTGTTGCATCTTATTTTAGCTCAATTTGCATCCATTTAGGTCATTTTGAATCTCGTTGTGGT